TGGACAAATACAGTGTATAAACTATATACTTCGTGATTGCATCACTTCGTTCCTGGTATATAAGATGTGATGAAATAGTGTGTGAAAAATATGCACTATATGACGAATAAGGTCATGCGGACCAATCAGATTTAAGATTTTGCAGACAGAAGTCATTTCAAATAGTATATAAACCATATACTTATTATATTCGTTTCTGGTATATTTCATAAGATTATTACAAAATATTATATAAGATATTGCGCAATATTTTGGACAGATCCTAGGATGTACTAGTCAATTCAACTTGATTGAATGTTAATAAAATTCGATGATCAGAAAATAAATCTTATGATCTCTGATCTGTATATACATAGTACATATGCATATATATTTTTTTACTTCACTGGATCTACATAAATTTGATACATATAAATTAAGTATATATTTTTTTTTTAATCTTTTTTCTATTTATTAGCATTTGTCTTTCTAATTTGGTGTCACTCTAATTTCTTGGTTTACTCTAATTTCTTGGTGTTACTCTAATTTCTTGGTATTGCTCTGATTTCTTGTACCACTCTAGTTTCTTGGTGTTGCTAATCATTCTAGCTTAATCTGATTTCTTGAAGTCGCTTTTGCTTGGTGTTCTGATTTCTGGTGTTAATCTGATTTCTTGAAGTTGTTCTAGTTTCTTGGTGTCATTCTAGTTTCTTGATAATGCCTTGATTTTTTAGTCTTGCTCTAGTTTCTTGATATTGCTCTAGTTTCTTGGTGTTGCTCTAGTTTCTTGATGTTGCTTTAGTTTCTTGATGTTGCTCTAGTTTCTTGATGTTGCTCTAGTTTCTTGGTATCACTCTAGTTTTTTGGTGTCACTCTAGTTTCTTGGTATTATTTTAGTTTCTTAATAATGCTTTGATTTCTCAGTATTACTCTAATTTCTAATTTTTGATATCACTCTAGTTTCTTGGTATTGTTCTAGTTTCTTGGTATTGTTCTAGCTTCTTGGTACCACTCTAGTTTCCTGGTGTTGTTCTAGCTTTTTGGTATCATTCTGGTTTCTTGGTAATGCTTTGATTTCTTAATAATACCTGGTTTCTTGATATCACTCTAGTTTCTTGATGTTGCTCTGATTTTTTGGTATTACTCTGATTTCTTAGTATTGCTCTGATTTCTTGACATTATTCTAATTTCTCGATTGCTCTAACTTTTGATAGTACTCTAGTTTCTTGGTATTGCTCTAGTTTTCTAGTATTGTTTTAGTTTCTTGGTGTCATTCTAGTTTCTTGATAATACCTTGATTTCTTAGTGTTGCTCTAGTTTCTTGGTATTACTTTAGTTTCTTGATATCACTTTAGTTTCTTGATGTCATTCTAGTTTCTTGATAATTCTCTAATTTCTCAGTATTACTCTAATTTTTGATTTTTTTGATATCACTCTAGTTTCTTGATATTGCTCTAGTTTTCTGGTGTCATTCTAGCTTCTTGGTGTTGTTCTGGTTTCTTGGTAATGTTTTGATTTCTTAATAATACTTTGGTTTTTTGATATCACTCTAGTTTCTTTAATTTCTTGGCATTACTCTAATTTCTCAATTGCTCTAACTTTTGGTATACTCTAGTTTCTTAGTATCACACTAGTTTCCTGGTGTTGCTCTAGTTTCTTGGTACTATTTTAGTTTCTTGGTAATGCCTTGATTTTTTAGTGTTGCTCTAGTTTCTTAATATTACTCTAGTTTCTTGGTATCACTCTAGTTTCTTGGTGCTACTCTAGTTTTTTGGTGTTGCTCTAGTTTCTTGGTATTGCTTGAGTTTCTTAGTATCATTCTAGTTTCTTAATAATGCTTTGATTTCTTGGTATTACTCTAATTTCTGATTTTTTGATATCACTCTAGTTTTTTGATATTATTTTAGTTTTCTGATATCATTCTAGCTTCTTGGTACCATTCTAGTTTTCTGGTATCATTCTAGCTTCTTGGTATCATTCTGGTTTCTTGATAATATTTTGATTTCTTAATAATACTCTGGTTTTAATAATACTCTGGTTTCTTAATATCACTCTAGTTTCTTGATATTGCTCTGATTTTTTGGTATTACTCTGATTTTTCAGTATTGCTCTGATTTCTTGGTGTTACTCTAATTTCTCGATTGCTCTAACTTTTGGTGATACTCTAGTTTCTTGATGTTGCTCTAGTTTTCTGGTATTGCTCTAATTTCTTGGTGTTATTCTAGTTTCTTGGTAATATCTTGATTTCTTAGTATTGCTCTAGTTTCTTGATATTACTCTAGTTTCTTGGTATCGCTCTAATTTCTTGATGCCATTCTAGTTTCTTGATAATTCTCTGATTTCTTGGTGTTACTCTAATTTCTGATTTTTTTTGATATCACTCTAGTTTCTTGGTATTGCTCTAGTTTCTGGTATTGTTCGAGCTTCATAGTATTGTTCTAGCTTCTTGGTATCATTTTGGTTTCTTAGTAATGCTTTTGATTTCTTAATAATACTCTGGTTTCTTGATATCACTCTAGTCTCTTTAATTTTTTGGCGTTACTCTAATTTCTCGATTGCTCTAACTTTTGGTGTATTCTAGTTTCTTGGTGTCGCTCTAGTTTCCTGGTATTGCTCTAGTTTCTTGGTGCCATTTTAGTTTCTTGGTAATGTCTTGATTTCTTAGTGTTGCTCTAGTTTCTTGATATTATTCTAGTTTCTTGATTTCACTCTAGTTTTCTGATATTATTCTAGTTTTTTGATAATGCTCTGATTTCTCAGTGTTATTCTAATTTCTGATTTTTTAATATCACCCTAGTTTCTTGGTACTGCTCTAGTTTCTTGGTATCATTCTAGCTTCTTGGTATCATTCTAGTTTCTTGGTAATACTTTGATTTCTTATTAATGTTTTGGTTTCTTGATATCACTTTGGTATTACTCTGATTTCTTGGTATTGCTCTGATTTCTTAGCGTTACTCTAATTTCTCGATTGCTCTAATTTCTGATGATATTCTAGTTTCTTGAGTTTTTTGATATTATTCTAGTTTTTTAGTAATGCATTGATTTCTTAGTATTGCTCTAGTTTCTTGATATTACTCTAGTTTTTTGATGTCACTCTAGTTTCTTGGTGTTATTCTAGTTTTTTGGTAATGCTTTGATTTCTTGATATTATTCTAATTTCTGATTTTTTGATATCACTCTAGTTTCTTGATATCGCTCTAGTTTTCTGATATCATTCTAGCTTCTTGGTGTTGCTCTGGTTTCTTGGTAACACTTTGATTTCTTAATAATACTCTGGTTTCTTGATATCATTCTAGTTTCTTGGTGTTGCTCTGATTTCTTGGTATTACTCTGATTTCTCAGTATTACTCTGATTTCTTGGCATTACTCTAATTTCTCGATTGCTCTAACTTTTGGTAGTATTCTAGTTTCTTGGTGTCGCTCTAGTTTCCTAGTATCGCTCTAGTTTCTTGGTGTTATTCTAGTTTCTTGGTAATGCTTTGATTTCTTAGTTTTGCTCTAGTTTCTTGGTATTATTCTAGTTTCTTGGTATCACTCTAGTTTCTTGATATCATTTTAGTTTCTTGATAATTCTCTGATTTCTCAGTATTACTCTAATTTCTGATTTTTTGATATCACTTTAGTTTCTTGATATCATCTAGTTTTCTGGTGTTATTCTAGCTTCTTGATATCATTCTAGCTTCTTGATGTTATTCTGGTTTCTTGGCAACACTTTGATTTCTTAATAATACTCTAGTTTCTTGATATCACTCTAGTTTCTTTAATTTCTTGGTGTTACTCTAATTTCTCGATTGCTCTAACTTTTGGTATATTCTAATTTCTTGGTGTTGCTTTAGTTTCTTGGTGTCATTCTAGTTTCTTAGTAATGCCTTGATTTCTTGGTGTTGCTCTAGTTTCTTGGTGTCATTCTAGTTTCTCGGTAATGCTCTGATTTTTCAGTGTTACTCTAATTTTTGTTTTTTGATATCGCTAGTTTCTTAGTATCACCTCAGTTTTCTGGTATCATTCTAGCTTCTTGGTAATTCTCTGATTTTTCGGTATCATTCTAATTTCTGATTTTTTGATATCACTCTAGTTTCTTGATATCATTCTAGTTTCTTGGTATTGTTCTGGTTTCTTGAAAATGTTTTGATTTCTTGTTAATGCTTTGGTTTCTTGATATCATTCTAGTTTTTTGGTATTGCTCTGATTTCTTGATGTTGCTCTGATTTCTTGGTGTTGTTCTGATTTCTTGGCATTATTCTGATTTCTTGGCATTACTTTAATTTCTTGATTGCTTTAATTTTTGGTAATACTCTAGTTTCTTGGTGTTGCTCCAGTTTTCTGGTATCACTCTAGCTTCTTGGTATTATTCTAGTTTCTTAGTAATGCTCTGATTTCTTGGTATTGCTCTAGTTTCTTGATATTACTCTAGTTTCTTGGTGTTGCTCTAGTTTCTTGGTGTTATTTTAGTTTCTTGATAATGCTCTGATTTCTTGGTATTGCTCTAGTTTCTTGATATTACTCTAGTTTCTTGATATTGCTCTAGTTTCTTGATGTTTGATTTTTGGGTATTATTCTAATACCTTGATGTGTTTTGGTTTTTGGTGTTGTTCTGGTTTCTTGATTATTTTAATTTCTTGATATTAGCATAGTAATTAGAAAATAATAGTATTGTAGTAGTTGTATATAATTATAGAATATTTTTAATAAACTGTTTAAAAAAGAATAATATAAATTTGTATTGCAAATGTATATACATTTAAAAAAATTTTAATATTCTAATCTTGATCGAAGAGTGTATTTTTATGTGACCCGGAAAATTTTATCTGTTAATATAATGCATAATATTTCATAATATTTTTGCATAATATTACGTAATCAATAATTGCACAATATTGCACGTGTAGTTGTATATAATTATAGAATATTTTTAATAAACTGTTTAAAAAAGAATAATATAAATTTGTATTGCAAATATATATACGTTTAAAAAAATTTTAATATTCTGATCTTGATCGAAAAACATGTTTTTATATGACTCAGAAAAATTCACCTGTCAATATAATGTATAATATTTCATAATATTTTTGCATAATATTACGTAATTAATAATTGCGCAATATTGCACATTAATCGTAATTATTGCGTAATATTATGGACCATAATATCTTATGTAATATTATATTTATATATTTTGCTGATGCATGAGCTTGGAATTGTTCAAGTGGTCATTACATTATTAAAAATTTTAGTGAGAATTGGAAGAGAGAATTCCTAGGTATCCTTGTAAAATTCATAAGTTAAACCATCTGAGCCAGAGGCTTTATTGTTAGGTAGCTTGTTTATAATGAGACTAATTTCTTCTTCAGTGATAGGTCTGGCTAGCTAAAGGTTTTGTTTAGAGAAGACCTTTTTTATATTGGCTATAATCTGAAGTATTGCTTCTCTGTTGATATTTTTGCTCTTATACAAAGCTTGGTAAGAGTCCTTAATATAGCTTATTGTTTGTTCTTGTGTAAGCTCATTAATAGCATTAGGGTCTCTAATTTTGCTACTGCAGCCTGATATGTTTTTGAACTTGTAAAGAGCGAAAAAGTATTTAGTTGACTTTTCTCCCTCTTCTATTCATTTAGCTTTTGAGCGCAAATATCATTTGTTAGATAATAATTGTAGTTCTTCCTGTAGTTTAAGGTTTATCTCTTCTGATACCAATTTAAGTTCTTCTAAGTTAGAATTCTTAGCAATTTTGTTATTAGTATTATTAAGCTTTTTCTGTAGTTTTTGTATATTGCTTTCAGGAGGTGAAGGAGGCTTGGTTGCTCTAACAATAGATTGAATTTTATACTTGTACAGATTCTATTCCGGGGGTTTTGAAAGTTTTGGAGTTCTTTAATAATATCGTTCTTAAGTTTAGAGTTATTCTAGTATTTTCTTTCAAACTTCCAGAAGATTTTCTGGTAATGCTTTGGTTTGAAGTTGAGAATATTTTCTACTAGTAAGTGATCAGAGTTTTCAAATCGTATAAGTGTATTAGTGCAGAGGTGACTATAGCTAGCCTCAATAAAAATGTAGTCCAGCCTGGTTGCTATTCTTCGATTGCTAGAAGTTGTTTGGTAGAAAGTAAGAAAAAGTCTTCTTTAGAGAATAATACGATATCTGTATAATCAGCTATTAGTTCTCTCAGTAGATTTCTAGAGCAATTATTTTGAGAAGTGGCTTGACTAATTCTGTCTTTTCTGGTCTTAAGTTTGTATTAAAATCACCTCCTATTATACAGATGCAGTTGTTATTTAAGTTTGGTATCCAATTGTTAAAAAGTCAATTCTTTCCTCGGTATTAGGCAGTATATAGATATTTATAATAAGAAAAGGCTGTTGTTTGATTATAGTTTTGAATGAAACTACTTGATCATTATAGAAGATTTTGGTATCAGTAAATTTAATATTTCTTTTTCTTGCAAGGATTGCTACTTAGAGTTGGGACCCGTGAATATTCACGAATAAAATGAATATTTAATTAGTATATGAATATTCTGTTATACAAAATCTGTGAACAGTTGAGAATTATTTAAGAATATTCTGTGCAAATAATCTATATACATATCTGCGCAAATATCTGTGTAAATATTCTGTGCGAATATTTTTGTACGAATATCTGTGTAAATATCTGTGTGAATATTCTGTGCAAATATTTGATAAATATAAGAAACGTAATTACGTGAGATTTTTTGAATATCTGTGAATTCTCTGAATATTCGTGAATTCTATATGAATATCTGTGAATTCTCTGAATATCCGCAAATTATCTATGAATATCTGCAAATTTTCTGAATATTCGTGAATTCTTTATGAATATTCATTTAAAATGTGTATATTTATTTATTATTATTCATGGATGACTAAAATCTGTGAATATTCATTAAATAACCATGATAGATATTCAAAGAATCCTAGCTCTATTGCTACTTTGGATAATCAAAGAGAGTCAAAGCCCCATTGTTGAGAGAGAAATCTTCTGGTGTTTAAGTCTTTTAGATTTGTTTCTTGAATTATTATAATGTCTAATTTGTATGACTTTAAAAGTGTAAGTATTTTTTGTACTTTGGAGCTGCTGTTCAGACTCTTAACATTAAGTGTAGTTATTTTAATCATTAGAATTATTAAAGAGGAGACTACACTAAAGATGTGTATTCTTAGTGTTAGTTCTTATATAGAGAGTAGCTCTGATAAGAGCTATCTGTTTTTTCATATAGTCCATTTGATCGAACGTAAGATTTCTTCTTGTCTTTTGCTTTTTGTTTTCTAGAAACAACTATAATGAAAGGCATGTTGTCATCTGTTATATTAGTAGTATTAGGAGCTGCTAAATCATCTTGAGATTCTATTTCCATTTGAGATAGAGTATCCAAAGAGCTAATAGTAGATGCAGAATCTGCTACTGTTTCTTCTGCTAAGCTAGAAGTTGTGGAGTTGTTGAGGTCTGTTTCTATTGAAATATCCGGTAGACACTCTTCTGAAAATATTGCAGATGGTTCTGTAGTTTGGTTGTCATCTGAAGTTTCTTGATTGATATATGAGTTGTCTTGACTAAAAGCAATTTCTGGAGAATTAGAGACTATAGACTTAGCCTTCTCTCTTTGTTCTTTGGCCTCTCTTAAAAGCTTTCTTGTTTCTATTAAGGCCTTTAGCTCCTCATAGTCTTTTTTAATATAACCTTTTTTGTCACAATAAAAGCAAACTTTAAGAGCTTCCTTTTATTCTGTAAAAATTCTATAGTTGCTAATATAAGTGCTTCTTGATATTCATGATGCTAGCTTCAGATTGTCTGTAGTTTCGAAAGTAATCAGCCATTGATTAGTACAGATCGAGATGCCTTTGAAATGATCAAAGCTATTTGTTCAACATCTCTAAAGGCTAGTAAGTTGCTGTCACTAATATAATTAGTATCTTTTATTGGGGTATTTTTAAGCTTGATAGTAAGGAAAGAGTGGTTTAGATTGATGGGAATATATACAAAGAAGGATTGTTTAAACAGTGAGATCTCCTCAGCTGCGTAATGTTGAACTTTCTCTTTATTTTTCAATATAATTTCTAGGAAAGATCTTTTTCCTCTAGACATATGTGTTTTTGCCACAATTAAGTTTTCACCTAAAAAGATAGCTAAAGCTACAATTATATCATTTGTGACAATATTGTATATCAAAAATAAGAGCATTTTCATTTTTAAAGTGAATTTGTTGTCTAGAAGTAGATCTGATATATGCTGCTTTTCCTTCTTTAAGCTTAGCAAAAAGATTAGATCACTGTTTTGGTTTTGAATCTGTATTTTGAAAATTTCTAGAATTGCCCGGTTTGGGGTATTTGCATTCTTATGAGTTGAAATCTCTAATTGGTTATTGCTTGATACATGTAGTTCATCTTGTTTATTATTTACTTCTAACATGTAGTTTATATGTTCTTATTTATTGTTTATCCCTTAAACCATCCAAATAAGCAGGCAAATTTGTCTGCTTAAATTTTATAAATTCATATCTGATCTATTTTTTTTAAAAATAAAAATATTTAATAATTTTTTTTTTAAATAAAAA